TGTGTTGGTTTGTGTTTTTTCAAAATACATATAGCTTTAATTGATTTTATGATTATAAACTAATGCATACTCATTATAACACTCAAGACAATGTGTAAAGGGGTAGAGAAGAAAGTGAAAATAACCCTACTACCCCAAGAAAACTCATTATCCTTCTAGTGTGACAGATTTTTTTTCCTTTGCTCCTTTTTAAAAAAACCTTTTTACATTGAAGGGATCCTCTCTGCATGCTGGTTTCTATTTTTGAATAGCTAATGTGTATACTCAGACTAGAGTACGAAAAGTTCAAGTGGGTACACAGTGTGGAGAAGGTAGGAGATACCTTTGCAAGGATACCTCTGACTCTGGCTTCTCTATGCAATTCATTTACCAATTGATTGATTCATTAATTAATTAGAAGACAATCATTGGGTGCCTACCATGCGATGGACACAAGGGGTCTGGATTTAAGACAGGCAACACTCGTGCCCTCAGGCTCCCACATCTCACTGCCCTGATGCCTCCATTTATTTAAGATCTCCGATTACAGTCTAGATACCTGGGAGAGATACGGTTCTCCAGAATGCATCTGGGGTCCACGGAGTGTGATCGGAGCCACTGAATTCCTGGGCAGAGGGCCTCAGAGTCCTGGACAGTCTTCCATTACTGTCTCATGAAGGGCCTTGTTCTTTGAGGTCTTGGCAACATGGAGCTTCCTTGACCCTTCCAGGTCACATCTTTGTCAAGCCTAAGGTGCATTCCCTTGGCCTGTGGGCCATTATTTGCAGTCCAGGCTCTTGCCTCGGGAGATAGAGCAGAGCCACAAGCCTTAGAGCCAAGCTTATTTGGCTTGAAGTTATGAGGGTAGATGAGAAGAAACGGGAGTGGTGCCTCTGAGTCAGCTCCCAAGGGTGGGGGTGAGCAGGAGCCCGGGCCTGAGCCAGCATGAGTGAATGTCGTGCTGCTGCTCCCAGGGGTGCCTCCCATTCATTCATGCCTGCGTTGAGCATTGAGTCGGCTCCTGCTGTGTACTAGGGGCTCTGTAAGCACTGCCATTGGAGAGATGAACAAGAACGTGTCCTTGCTTTCAAGCTGTAATTTCTTGGGGAGACAAATAGGAGGAGAGGTGATAAAATTGTACAATAGAAAGAGCTGTGGGGCACAGGGAGAGACCTTCCCGGACGAGGTGGTTAATTCTAGCATGTTCTGAACATAGGACTGGAAAAGAGGAGAAAGACCATTGCAGGTGGAGGCTAGAGCACTGGCATTACGTGCCCGTTCTTCATGCTTTCTTCAGAAAGAGAAGAGGGTGAGGAAAGGGCTGGAAGGGAGAGTGGCCGGGCCCCAGACAGAACTGGTTGCTCTCTGCCGAGATTACCCCGTCACCGTCCTTTCTGTTGCCTCGTGCACAGAGGCATGGGATGCCCATGGTCTCACCTTTGCTTCTGCAGCAGAACCTCACCTCAGGTTCTTCATTGCCCCAAACCCAAGTTCATCCCGAGGTTGAGATGAGCCGTAAGGTCTAAAGGGACAACCGTCCCAAGGATATGGGCATTTAACCACTTTCCACACTTCAAGCCAGAGGATTGTTGCTTTGCCTGGGTCCTTAGACGTCAGAATGTAGGCAGAGGGTCTGGATGGGGGAGGGCGTGGTAATGGGGTCTTCTCAGAACCTGTGAATTACCAAACCTTCACTTTTCGATGGAATCCTCCAGGGCTTTAGGCACTGCCGCTGACTGAGACCTCATGAATTTTCGGCCATCCAGATATCTGGTTAGTCACAGGAAGTTTGGGTCATTAGCACTTGGGGCCAAGAGCCTTGCTCCTGCCCTGAGCAGCTGGCAGTGGTGATGGCTACACCTTCCCAAAGCTAGCCCGGTGGTCACAGAGAAGCCTCAGATATCTGCACTTGGGTGTTCTCGAGTAGGTGAGCTGACAGGTCCTCGCAGGGAGCCGTATGCTTAGGTGATCCGGCTAGGGAAATGCAGGTGCGGACGTGGGAGCAGGGACTGGGGTCCGCCGAGGGGCTGCCACAGTCCCAGGAGGTGTTGTGGGGTAGAGAGCCTGGGGCAGCATATGGCCACCACGACCCGTCATGCCTTCAAGTCAGCACCTAAAAGCAGATTAACTGACGTCTGTGGCTGTCACTTGGCAGTTCTCGGGTAGAAGCCTGAACCTCAAAAAGCAATCCTAGAACCCAAGCAGACCCATGAGAGCTCATGATGTCTGCCACTCCCCATTCCTGCTTCCCAGGTCACCTGCTGGGCTCCTTGGACCTGCTGAGCAGCTTCTCTGAACTTGCTCGGGGCCCTGCTAGCCAGGGCCAAGGGCAGCTGAGCCCACACCTTGTGAATGGTCCCACTTCGACTAAGGATGAGGCAGGAGGTGGGAGGGACACCAGCTTCCCTCCTGCCAGAGCAGCAGCCCTCCTCCTCACACCTGGAGACCGGCGGTGACATCTGCCCTTTGGACCAGAGCTTCCCAAATACGTTTTCTGAAGCCATTCCCAGGAGAGGTGTTCTGATGAAAAGATGATGTGGTGAAGCAAGTTAAGGAATGCTGCACACCGGGGCGCCTGGGGGGCTCAATCGGTTAAGTGACTGCCTTCAGCTCAGGTCATGATCCCAGGGTCATAGGATCGAGTCCCACATCAGGCTCCCTGCTCAGTAGGGAATCTGCTTCTCCCTCTGCTCCTCACCCCCCTCTTACGATCACTCGCTCTCTCTCCCTCAAATAAGTAAAAATTCTTAAAAAAAAAAAAAAAAAAGGAATACTTTATACCATTCCCACTGCCTTTGGGGGAGGCGGTGGACACTGTTGACAATAGTCCCTAAGCTTCCAAGAAGTTCTGCTGGGGGGAAGCCTGCTCACTCTCCTGAATTCCGACTTTCCCTCATTGATTTGATCGCAGATTCCTACAGCACTAGCATCCGTGTATCCCGCGGCCTGCACTGTAGGAACACTGGCCTAGATGCCCTCTTATTCTCCTGACCTTTGTCAGCGGCTGGTCGGCATGTGGTCAGGAAAAGGCCTGCATGCCTGGGCCACCACTTCTGCCTTGCTTCTGTCCTCATGTTACCGTTTGGGTCTGGGGGATTCCGGGTGTCTGAACCTGGCCCAGGACCAGCTATCCTTTTCAGAAGGCTTATGGGACACCAGGTCCTGCTGTGGTCCCTGGTCCCTCTACACTTGGTCAGAGCTCTGGGTCAGAGCCCATGATGGGAGGGAAATGAAGGCCCCCGGTGATCAGTGGATACTGGTCACCCTGGGTGTGTTGTGGGGTGGGGGGGCTTGTCCCAAGAAGGGTGGCATCTGTGGAGCATGTCCGCTGGCAAGTTTAGCTCTCAGGGACCAAGTTCGATATGAGAGAGACTACGGGAAGAGGAATGGCTGGGTGTGTGGGTAGATTCTCCTCTGACTGGGTGGGTGGAAATTGGCACCGTGGGGTGTGGAGGCAGGGGGCTGGCTCTGAAGGCCTTGGAGCCCACCCAGTCTTCAGATCTGGTGGCTGGGCCCCAGAGCAGCAGAAGCCAGCAGAGCCGTCCCTAGATTGTGGGTCCTGGGTGAGCGCTGGGGCTGTGTGGGAGGGAGAGTGGGTGGTGACTCAGGTGCCTGGCGGCGGGGAGGAGACAGCCCTGGGCACTGCTGAGAGCCAGTGGAGAGGTCTGGAAGCTCAGGTGCAGCCTCCTGCCTCACCTGAGGCAGCCTCCCTTCCAGCACCAGGGCCTGAGCAGCGGCGGGCACCTTGCATCTCCTTCCCATGTCACCTCTGCAGGGAGGAGCTCTGTGCCCGGCTCTTCCTCACAGATGCCCTGAATGCCCACTGGCCACTGATGGGCACTGGGACAGGAAAGCATCGGGGGCCTGATTATGATCTGCCCTCCCTAGGGAAAGCTCTAGGCCCTACATGCTACACAGCAGGCCTGGAAGGTGGTGGGGGGACAAGGGGGATGATCCCTTGCCTTCCCTCCACTTGGCCAGATCTACTCTTTTCTCCATCCCGGATGCCAGAATCTGCCAGAGCATGGGTTGCTTGGCAAGACCTGTGGTGACAGCTCACTTGTGTTTGTCACAGCAGTCATGGAATGAAATCCAGCGCGCAGAGGGACTTGACTCCGGAAGCTGGTGATTCCCTCTCTCTCTCTGGGAACAGTGCCGCCTCCAACTCCTCCTGGGCTTGTGGTGCACCCAGGAGCCCGGATGCAGGCACTTGAATCATAGTCCTGCTGTTCAGAAGGGCTCAGGGAGCCCCCTCATCGATCTGCAGAGAAATGCAACCGAGAAAAGCCTGAATTCATTATTCATTCGCTTGTAGTTTGGTTCTTAGATGCCCTAACTTTGCTGTCCTGGACCCAGACTCATGATGCGTCTCTGTTTGCTATCTGTGTAGAAGCTTAGGAGAAATAGGGTGGGTCAAGGCAAGCTTCTCCTGACCTCATTAAATTTTTTTCTGAATTGGGTATTGAAACAGAAGAGAGCTCACATGGAGAGAACTGTTCTTTTTTCCAAAGGCTCTTCTATTCCGTTGAGCAGAGGTTCTAGAGGAGGAAGCCCCAGAGGTGATTCCCAGAGGCAGACCCCGACAGCCACGGCTGGGTCCTTGCTGAAGCATCGTCGTCCAGCGCCGTGGCGGGAGCGGGGACGAGCGTGAGCCTGCCGCCGCATCCCTGTCTCTTCCTTCTTTCCATTTCCGTTTTCAGCCCTGCTTAATCCCTGCTGTGCCTTTGAATCCCATGAGTAGCTGGAGTGTTGGCCAGATGTCTAACTATATTATTTATTGGCTGCATTTCTCCTTCTGTTGGGGAAGGTGCTCGGGGTTTAGAGCCCAATCAGAAATGGTTGTAGTTTCCCATGTGAAGGGCCCTCCGCTGCCCGGGCACCTGCTTGCTAATAGAGATGGCATAGGCCCTGCAAACGTCCAAGGGGGTTTGATGGAGTTTGTGTATTTCTGTGCACAGCCATCATGGAGGCTGTATCCCTCTCTCCTGGGTGAATCTGTTCCTTAACTTCATCTTTCCTACGCCATTTGAGTACATGATTTTGGCCACCATCATTGCCAACTGCATTGTCTTGGCCCTGGAACAGCATCTTCCTGAGGATGACAAGACCCCGATGTCCCGCAGACTGGTATGTGCCTCCCTCCTTCTCATCTTTCCCCCGGTCCCTTCTCTTCCCCAGTGGTTACCTTCTCCTTTGCTTCCTCGCCTGGTCCCCTCCCCCACCCCCTCCCTTACAGTTCAGTGAGGAGTTTGTTCTTTGCTGAGGGACATGCTGGTGACAAACCCCACTGGGAGGCAGAAGGACGAGAGGACTGACCTTTCTAACTCCCGCTCCCAGAAGTTCTGACGGCATCACAAACACTTGTGGATACACTGTGTGGTAGCCAGACAAGAAGAAAGGGCAGGAGCAAGGGCCATTAACTTCACTCCCCTGCCTAACGGATTTGGGAGTGAGAGGGAGAAAGAAGGGTGCTCAAAGCCTATGTGCATTGATAGTGCTGAACTTTGTAGGTGTCGTGTCCGTATTCTCCTTAAAGCAAGGAGTCACGTGTCTAGCGTATTCTCCCAACAGAGGGCAAACTAATTGCTTAAAATCTAAATGTATGTCTAAGCGGCTTCAGCCTAATTACCTGCAAAAAAGAACCCTTGAGCTTGCAGGATAAGTGAAGGCCAGCAGTGGAAGGCCAGGGTGAAGCCAGAAACATCAGCCACTCTCCTGGGAAGAAGTCTGGCTTGACTGTGACCCCCATACCCATCCCTTCGGGCAGCTGGCTCCCCCAGGCTTCCCGTGCTCTTGTGTACTCCCCGAGCCCTTCAGCGAGTGCACTCACTTCCCACTAGTACTCAGGTGTCCTATAGGAGCGAGGAGTGGTCAGAGTAGAGAGGGTGGCTGGGGCGTGACTTTGTCTGCATTCCCTTCCCCCCTTACCAGTACCCATGCTTCTCATCCTGCAGGAGAAGACGGAACCGTATTTCATTGGGATCTTTTGCTTTGAAGCTGGTATCAAAATTGTGGCCCTGGGGTTCATCTTCCATAAGGGCTCGTACCTCCGCAATGGCTGGAATGTCATGGACTTCATCGTGGTCCTCAGTGGGTGAGTCCTCTTCCAGTCTGTCCTTTCTGGTGTGAGGGGTTGTGCCCGTGGGGTCTTGTGGTCCTGAAGTGGCTGGTAGAAGGAACCCAGGGGTGGGAAGGCAGCACAGGGAGTAGGGTCAGAACAAAAAAGTTCAAGGACGAGATTCCTCACGGGGCTAAACCATAGGTGACCCATGTGCAGGGGGTACGGGTACTCTGTGGGGATGCTTGTGGCATTCTGTAGAGGTTACAGAACCAAGGTGTGGCTGCTTCTGCTTCTGGTTTTCATTCGGTGTTTGACTAATGCTAGACACACATATCCCAGTGAGTCTTTGCACTAAAGCACACAGCTTGCCCTAGCCTGAGGGGCCCCCACCAAAATGGGCCCCAAATGCCATGAGATGCAGTGTTTCCTTGAATGTTGAAGAACCACCTCCCGCAATGATATTTTCTTAACTGATAATTGAGACTTGTGTCCCGACCACAGAACTTTTTATGATTTGCAGATTTATTAATAGGAGTATAAAATTGAATCACATTAAAATATTTGATAAGTAATCCTGAATTATTGCTGATGCAGTGTCATATTTGCATTATTTAAATATTTGATAAATCATTTTTTTGAGAATGAATATAGTATGGCCTCTGTTGGGGCCTATCCAATGCCATTAGCAGCATATGTGATGGCCTTGGGACTGGTGGTAATGGGCATGACTCTCTGGGCTTTTGTGGTTGCTCGCTGTTGTTTGTGTCTGGTGGCTTTTGGTGCCTGCATGGGAGGGTAGTGGCCCAGGCCTCATGGGGGAGCTGCTGGCCTGTGTGGGCCTGGCTATGGCAGTAAGGGGTGTGACTTGAGAAGTCCCATACCCAGCTGCTTGCCAGACCTGTGTGGAAAAGAAGAGAATGCAGTAAAAAAGCGAGGAGGGGAATCTAGAAGCCACCATCATGACTGATCAAAAGGAGAAGGGAACAAAGAGGAAATTTGTTCCAGGGAACAGAGGAGCGGAGGTAGATAAAGTCTGAGGAAAACAAGAGCTTGGGAATGTTCGCGTCTACTCATGTCTTGTAGAACACATGCAGTACTCATACTTTTAACCTTCCCACCAATTGCGATTAAGTGAAAGAGAAGAAGTTGAAGGTGTAGAGGACTGGAATGTTCGAATGGAGCTCATAAGCAGGCAAACCCTTAGTATAGGGAACAGATAAATGGAGACGATGATGTTTAAAAACATCTGTTGTCTTACGGGCGGATTTTCTGAAGGTTACTCTTGTAAAAAAAAAAAAATTCTACTGAATCTTAAACACGGCTTAGTCTATGAAGATAATTTGTACATCGTGTTTCAGAAGTGCGTGGTCATAGACAATGCAGAACACCTGGGCCATGTTTCTCATGGTTTATTTTTTTCAGCTTTATTGAGGTATGATTGACAGATGGAAATTATATATATTTAAGGTGCGTGTTGTGATGTTTAGATACACACTGCAGAATGATTACCACAATCAAGCTAATTAACATACCCGTCATCTCACACAGTTACCTGTTTCATGTGTGTGGTGAGATCACTTGAGCTCCACTCCGCAAATTTGAAGTGTACGGTACATTATTATTAACTGTGTGACCACTGTGTGGTCACCATGTGTGTGGTCACCGGGACTTACTCTTCTGGAGCTGATAGTTTGTACTCTTGACAGGTTTCTCCCCCACTCCCAGCTCCTAGCAAGTACCATTCATTTCTCTGTTACTGTGAGTTCGATTTTTTTTTTTTAAGGCTCTGCATAGAAATGAGATCATGAAGTAGTTTTCTTTTCAGTGCTTGGGTTATTTCAGTTAGCATAATGCTCTCCGAGTTCATCCGTATCATCGCAAATGGCATCATTCTTTTTTTTTTAAGGCTAAATAGCATTCCTTTGTCACCCACCGATGGACTTTGAGGTTGTTTTCCTATCTTGGCTATTGTGAATAATGCTACAGTGAACATGGGGGTGTAAGTATCTCTTCAAGTTAGTGGTTTTATTTCCTTTGGTTATATACTCAGAAGTGGGATTGCTGGATTTATGGTATTTCTATTTTTAATTTTTTGAGGAGCCTCTATACTATTTTCCATAGTGACTGTGCCAATTTAACATTCGCATCAATAGTGCGTGAGGGTTCCCTTTTCTCCATGTCCCCGCCAAGGCTTGTTATCTTTTGACTTTTTGATAATGGCTTGGTGATGTTTTAAATGTCCCTAACATAAGTAATACTAGTATATCGTGAAAGGTCTAAACGAGAATCTGAGTCCTTTAGAAATATTGTGATTCTGTCTGGGAGCAAAGTACCACATACTGTAATGCATGTGGTTTATATGTCAACATTGTGTGTGCTCTTGGTACTGTTGAGTTCTGTATGTGTCAGAGGCCATTTGAAATTTCTCATTTCACCATTTACTTATTTAGAGAGTTGCGAGTGGGCAAAGAAGAGGGGGAGGGAGAGAGACACTTAAGGAGGTTCCACACCCGGCACAGAGCCTGATGTGGGGCTCGATCTCACAATCCTGAGATCATGACCTGAGCCCAAGTCAAGAGTTGGACGCTTAACTGACCAAGCCACCCTGGTGCCCCTCATCCATTTATTTTTATTTTAAACTATTATGTGTCCATTAAACAAAATATTGGAAAGTCAAAAGAGAAAAACAGTTTATTGATGAAGAATTCAGAACTATTTGGTGGTGTTTCCTTCCAGACCTTTCAGTGCTAAGGAAGTTTTCTTTTCAATGCATATAATTTTGCGGCCTTTTGTCAAAGCCATATGGGCGTAGTACATATTACTCCATATTTTGGTAAAAATCTGTAATGCTTGACCAGCGGTTTATTACATGGATGTCCATGGAAGATGTGGCCTTCTCCATTTTTAAAGATTTTATTTATTTATTTGACAGAGATCACAAGTAGGCAGAGAGGCAGGCAGAGAGAGAGGAGGAAGCAGGCTCCCTGCTGAGCAGAAAGCCCAATGCGGGGCTCGATCCCAGGACCCTGGGATCACGACCCGAGTCGAAGGCAGAGGCTTCAACCCACTGAGCCACCCAGGCTCCCCAACTTCTCCATTTTTACCATGATTTGACAGCGAGGTTGCCTTCTGGTTTGGGCTATTTTAGTTAATGATTAAACATGTTCCAGTGTACGTCTTTAGGATATCCCATTTTGAGAGGCATCATGACAGGTCGAAGTGCTTCTAAAGGTGACTCTGCCATTCTGGTGTGGGGTCTGGCCGCTAGTATGTGCGAGGGGAGGTGGAGGAACTGGACCCTTTGACAGGATGTGAGAAGACTGTTGGAAATTGAGGTACTGGCTTCCCAGAAGGGTTGCCATGTGACTTGAGGAGCGGGTTTGTAGGAATCACCAGGATCTTTCCATTAGCATGGCCAGGAAGGCCCTCTGTGTCCTCGTCCGCATGTGTCGGGGTGCACACGAGTGGGCCCAGGTGGTGACACTGAGGCCATGTCACTCATCCTCTTCATTCTCTGCCTGCCCAGCCCTCCAACCTCTTAATAGTGGCTCTTCAGACTTTGCTGAAAAGTCTCTGCTGTCCATTGGAACCAACGGGACTTTGTCCCTGTTCTTCCTGCACCTCCTGATTTCTTTCTCTCTCCTTAATTCCCACGTGAATGTGCCCCAGGGAAAGGGCTTGGTGCTAGGGTTCGTGCTGAGGGTTCCCCAGGAATGGCTACTCGGATTTAGCCTGCAGTGCACATGGTGTGCTCACACACCACATTGCACCGCTCCCCAGCGCCCATTTCTCAAGCTGGAGCATCGTCGACGTCAGCCCGTGTCTTACAATAAGGACACAATATTGTGTAATTGACAGCACTTTTCTTCCTGTCTTTGCTAAGAAGGAACTCATGGGGCACCTTACAACTCTTGGGGTCTTAGAAGCAGTGAGATATGTTATAATACCAACCAGGTAGTCAGGCAGATCAGCCTCTTGATGTGACTCATCAAGTCCTCAGGGTGGTTAAGTGCTCTGCCCAAGATCACTGCTTCTTGACCGCAGCCCCAGGGTCGGCACTGTGCCCTTTGACCCAGGGCTGGTGCTTTACCTGGGACAGGCCCCTCTCTGGGCTTCCTGACGTCCGCCGCTGCAGCGGTCCCTGCTGGTAGCCCCTCCCTCCCACCGGAACTCCAGGTGTCCCCGTGCATTTTCCTCCTGTGTACAGAGGGAATGACAGGTGCTGGAGCGTGACACAGTGCCTCGGGCTGAGACTGCACAACTTCTCAGCTCTCAGTGTGTGACTCGAGGAGAGGGACTGAGGGAGGAGGTGTTGAGGTGTCAGACGGCTGGTTCGGTGAAAGACCTTCTATCAGTGACCTTTGCTAAGGAAGGAGTAGCTGGGGACTGGGCCCCTCTGACCTTCCCACCTCTGGTATTCTTAGGTCTGTAAGTTGAGAGAGTTCATGGTTTAGGAAGTTAATGTATGTGCTTTATTCATCTAAGGCTCATAATCCCCCAAATGAGGTCTTGTTATCCTCATTTCATAGATGAAGAAAACGGGTTTGGGGAGGGTATGTGACTTACTAGAAACTACTCGATCCAGGACTTGAGCCGACATCTGCTGGCCCCAGGGTCCTTCTTCACACTCATTCCTGCACACTGTCAGCCACCTGCCAAGCTCACGGGCTCTGTGTGTCGTATGCAATCTCTGTGAGGGTGTGTTCCTTCAGATCCCTTGATGCAATGTGGAGTGCGTGGGGCGGGGCATGATTTGGCAAATATCCCCATCCCAGAGCTGCAACTTACCACGTGACTTGAGGAGGGCCAGAGTCCCATATGTCCATCCTAAGACTTCTCTCTGTGGTTAAGAAGGCCTGTAGCTCAGCTCTTGTGGGGTTACTGTATAAAAGCTGAATCACAAGTTCATTAATAGGCTTGTTCGTTCATTCACGCGTTTACCCATTTTTTGAACAAACTTGTATCATGGAGCACTCAAGCAAGGGCTAGGACTGTGACACACCAAAGTTAATGTATTCTCATTTCTCCTAAAA